GTTCGAGGCCAGCCTGGTCTACAGAGCCAGTTCCAGGACAGCCTCCAAAGCCACAGAGAAACCCTGTCTCAAAAAACCAAAAAAAAGTTTTTTTTCCATATTTGCTCAATAGTTACTTTGCCTCCCAGAGCCCCATACCAGGAACTAAACCCAAGAACATCAGGCCTGCTAGTCAGTGCTTTCCCCTAGAGCTCCAACCCCACCCATGTTGCCTTTTTAATCAGTCTGCTTCACTCATGTTGTTGAACATGTAGATTGTTTTCAATTTCTATCATTACAAATAATACTCTAGTATATATCACACATACACTGAGAGATTTCCTTAGCAGCACTTTGCAGGAACCAGTTAACTATGTTAAAGAGTGTGAAAATTGGCTTTTGATGCAGATTACTAAATTGTGTTTCAGAAAAAGCATGCACTTGCCTATTATGCATGAACTATGGGCTCTAACCCTAGCACTGCCAGAAGGAAAAGTCTCATCACAGCTGTCTCTTGGGCAACACCAAACTGAAGCATGCTTGGTGCTTGCTTTGGGAATTTCATTGAGATAGGTCTGGAGAGATGGCTAAGTAGTTAAGAGCACTTTTTGCTTTTGCAGAGGACCAAGGATTAGTTTCCAGCACCCCATGGCAGCTCACAACCATCTGTAGCTCCAGTCCCAAGGCATCCAGTACTCTCTTCTGATCCCTCTGGGTACCAGACTAGTGCAAGAACTCGTGTACACACACACACACACACAGAGGCAAAAGAATCATACACATAGGTGTACTTGCATGAGTGTACACACTCATGCAAGCACACCTTTAATCTCAGTACTCAGGAGGTAGAGGTAGGTCTATCTCGGTGAGTTTGAGGCCAGCCTGGTCTACAAAGGGAGTTCCAGGACAAGTTCCAAGGCTACAGAGAAACTCTTGTCTCAGGAAAAAAAAAAAAAGCAAACAAAACAGTCATTCAGGAAAATAAAATAATCTTTAAAAAAATGATTGAGATATTTAGTTCCTAAACTTCAGTAAAAGGAACCTGTTTATACTGTGGGTAGAAGCAGATAAAAGAACTACTTGGTTCAGATAATTCTGAAGGGAGATATTTCTTTTCAGTATTCTTTTTGGCATAATAGTATAGTTCTTGATTCCATAGAAGTGAAAGTCAGCTTTTCTTCTCGCTGATGTTTTGGCAGGTGGTATCCCTCGAACTCCAGTGAGACAGAAGATGAATACCATGTCCCGATCCTTGAAGATGCTGAATGTGGCGAGGCTAAATGTAAAGGCTCAGAAGTTACACCCAGATGGTAGTCCAGACATGGCTGTGGAGAAAGGGCTCCAAAAGACAGTGATCGGCAGAACAGGAGATAAATCAGAAGACAGAGGAAGAACATTAAGAAGTTCTAAACTTAAAGGTATTCATTCATTCTAGAGCCTTTGGTGTCCATGTTGTTGTGTAAGAGAGCTAGAGGCTGGGGAGTCTAGCCCAGTTGATAGAGTGCTTGCCTAACATTCATGAAATCCTTGGGTTTGATTCTCCACATAAAACTGAACACGATGGTGCACATGTATAATCTCAGAACTTGGTGGTAGAGGCAGGAGGATCAGAAGTTCAATATATATATATATATATATAATGAGTTTGAGGGCAGCTGAGCTATATGAGACCTCATGTAAATAAATATACAAATAAATAAAATGGGATAGAGGGAGAAGAGTTGGGAAAGGAGAAAGATTGAGATTATTTGGGGAAATGAAGAGCAGACTAGTATCTATCCCCATGTAGACCAGAGGACAAACTCAGTTTACATTCTTCAGGGGCCATCCACCTTTTTTAAAATTTGTGTTTAATTAACTTATTTTATTGAATTAGGGTCTCATGTAGCCCAAGCTATCTTCAAAATGTCTCTGTAGCTGAGCCTGGACTTGAACTCCTGATCCTCCTGCCTCCACCTCCACAATGCTTGAACCATGGCCATGTGCCACTATGCCCAGCCATCTCTCTCACTCTTTCTTTCTTTCCTTTTTTTTTTTTTTTTTTTTTGGA